ACAAAATATAATCCATTGAAGATATATTTGGCTGTGAATTTGTTTTAAAGTTAACATGTGTTGATCATATGTCAAAAAGCATGACGTGCAATACTTTGCAACACTGAACAGTTTTCTAATGAAAAATGTATTTGGACAACTGTGTTAAAATGATACGATGTAGCACATTTATCAATTGAAGAAAGTAATAAAGGAATATTTTCCAGAAAGAAAAAAAACTAAATTTGACTGGGTACAAAATCTGTTCAATAAATCAGAAGTCTTGCTATTGAAGGGGAGGGAGAAACTTACTGACATGTCAATAGATTCAATGTTAATATCTAAATTTAAGCAAGTCATAAATTTTTGGTTGTAGATTCATGTAGAGTACCCAAATACTTCTCCCACATATAAAGATTTTAATGCCATTTTGAACAGCGTGAATAAGTGATAAGTCTTTCTTAATGAATGTTGCAGTGAAAACAAAATATAGAAATAAACACTGGATATGAAATTCAACTTCAGGTAACATCAATAGATCTAAATTTGACAGTTTGTGTAAAACAAATGCAAGCACATCCTTGTTACTAAATATACAGTAAGGATAGGTGATGAGCACGAGTTAATGCTGTTAATGAGTAAATTAGATTAATTTCATGTTAAATATTTTTAATAGAAATCCATTACTTTTTTAATTGTCTTTACATAAAGCATCTATGACATGCTGATTCTACTTTAAATTCTAAGCTATATTTTTCTAAAGGCCAGTTTACACTTCTCTGAGTGACTTGTAATGAGCTTTTCGCTACAACTTCGTTGGCAATGTAAATACTCACTTCGCTGGAATAGAACATAGGGGAGATGGCTCAGCTATTCCATTTCTGCTTTGAACCAGTTGAAACTTTACCCGGGCAGTAATTCGAAGCAGTGTTCTCAGAGACGTCAGCCCAGTTTTTTCCATCATGTCGAGAATGCTGAAATGGAGCCATAATCAAACTGTGGCATTTTTTATTGCATATTCATCTTGTAAAGTTTTTTGGAATACTTCGCTACCTGAATATTATGACCACTGTTTACTAATACCTAAATATAATGTGGATATAACTACTGATCAGAAAAATTTAGGTTTTTGATATTGTAAAAAAAAAAAAAAAAAAAAAAAAAAAAAAAAAAAGCAAATTAAATTAGGGTATCTTTATCGGATTCAAAATATTTATTTTAAACATATTTATTTCCGAAATTTGCTTTAATCAAAAATAATTAAATTGTATGTTATTGAACTACCCAATAAAATACAGTTTTCAATTAAAGAACATGAAGAGGCAAACATTTGATTTTTGTTGATATAAATTTAGAAAAACCAATTTTTACTAATGGCCAATTACACCTAATAAAATATATTCTAAAATTTGGAAATTTTAGTTATAGACTCCCTTTTTTATTTGAACAACAAACTAGATTTTATTTACAAACGATCAGTCAGAAGTATTAAGTTAAAAATTGCTGACAGAAGGCGTATGAAGATATTATTAACTTTTTTTAAAATTTGAGGGTTTGGGAGAGCCCAAGCAAAAGATAAATAATTTTTGCTCAACCTCATACACAGAATGGCCTCATACACTTCTGGAATAAATATGCTGATTGTGCATTTTGGCACCTGAAATAAATATTGCAGCATCTGTAGGAATCACCGTTGCCATAAACCGAAGCACTATCAGCAGTTTTAATTTTTGCTGGCAGAGCATCTCAAAAGAACTTTTTTCCCCCCTGAATAAGTAGAGTGACCATTTCCAATAAAGTTTCAAACTATTCTTCGCCCATTCTGCTGAAATTTTTGTAATTTTGGATATCTCTGCCCCAAAATTCACTCAAAAGTTGATCTAATGTTCCTAATTCGTCACAGCAAGCTATCCAGTCACATACCCATTTCCTTTTCTTTTTTTTTTCGGGGGGGGCTGAGAATAGAAATTAAGTCATTGAAAACTGCTTTGCAAACATCAAACACTGCAGCTGCCATGTTGGTATCTATTTTATAAATAAACGGAGGCGAGTTGTCAGTCCACTTTGATTGGTGTGTGCAATCTATCAAATTACAGGTCCGTTCACTCAGTTCGAGACACCATAGTGAGGGGTTTACTGCAAGTCACTTGGAGAAATGTAAACTTGCCTTAAGGGTGGGATGGGGTTCCCTGCAAAAGCATTCATTATACAGTACAAAGTCCAAAATCCAGACTCGTCGGGACTTCGGCAATTCCGGATTTGGGATTTTTCCGGATATTAGATCATCAATTTAAATCTAGTAAGATGGCATGTAGAAATTATAAAATTAAAAATATGAAATCGTGATTTATGAAATAATGAAGTATTTATGATCTAAAGGGTACCAAAATTTACAAAGAAATCTTAATATTTATTTGTTTACCTTATTAAATATTTATTTCAGTGTAAGTTGTGTCAGTTGCTTCATTTTTTGTGCTAATTCTTTCTCTTTAATTCTGTAGACAGACATGATCTCTTGTTTAGTTACATTGTTGAAGTCCTGTGACTGGTATTTCGGGAATTCCGAATAACTTGTCAATCAAAATTTTCTCGTTTTCAGTAACTTCTCTGTCACTTTCTTCACTATGGTAGTGGTATTTTCTGGATCTAGAACCATACTACAGATTTTGCCATTCATTAATTGATTGATGATTGAGAAGCATTGTCATCACAATGAAAAACATCTTTTATATCATGTTTATTTATTACTGCTTCTCCACATTTCTTTACAAAATCCATTAATTGGAAAATTTCACCTTTGTTTTGCGATATCCGAAAACCATTAAAATTAGCGGCTATCATCATCAAATTTAGCTATTCTTCACTGTACATATTTGGCTATGCATCATGAGTTTGGCGACTAACGACAAGTTGTTCCGTTAAATTTTATCTTGCTTCTGCCGCACATGAGACAATTAAGCCTGAATTGTATTACTTTAGTTATTTATTATATTTATGTCTATTTCTTGCACGTGCTTAAGGCTTATCGGAGTTCTGAATAAATAAATTCCCACCATATACTTAAACTTTATTGAGGGCCGGCGTTAGATATCTTATCGCCTGATGCAGTCTCTGTGGGTCCTAAATTCTGCAACTTGATGCGGCCATGCGAGCCCTGGTGCTAGTTCTGAGTTTATGTGAATAAGAAATCAGTTATTCTTAATTCAAATAGCCCTAAATGTAATCTTTGGGTCTGTGGGTATCATCATTAACATTTTTTTTAGCGCATTTAACTTAAATCTGCAATCATCGCCAAGCGATAAAAACACTCATCGTCAACACAAAAGGTTACCATACTCCTTTATTATTCAATTACTAGCATAAAAAAAAAAATAATTTAAGCATCGCTACACGAGTCATTAATCAATTTGTCATGTTTTGATAAACATGCGGTGATGAAAGGAAAGTGTAATAAATAATGATTCACCAGGTTGGTGTCAGATCAGCGATGTATCTGTGTGGAATGCTTCTGTTTGAGATGTATGCCAAGCAGATATGCAACAACAGAGCCAAATTACTGATTGTACAAATTTATGCTAAAATGATTGTTTCTTCAATAACAACGTATTTTATTTATCTCAAGGTGAAATTGAGAATCGGGACTCTCCAGATGTTTTATTATGCACAAAGGGTTGGATCAAATGCGCATGCATAAAGCCCTTGAGAAAACGTTGGTGATTTTGAGGTCCAGATTTTAGATCATTCTGGTTAATGGACGTCCAGATTTTAGACTTTGTACTTCTAAGGGCTCCATGAGTTGACAAAATTTGAAGACCACTGCTCTAGATGATTTTTTGCTTTTGGTGAGTGATAATATCTGATGTGATAATATTTTATAAAGCAGCTGTAGTCATCTGATACTTCACAGATAAAGGTATTCAGGAAATAGATTTTCCAATTTAGTCGCTTAGCATCAGTTTTAATGTGCACTTCATGAGTAGCTGGGAGGAAGCTGCTTTCCTCCACATCTCCAATAGTTACTTCCTTCTTTAAAGAGAATTATAATTTCCTTAAGGAGTACAAAGCTTACAAACAATATAAAATACACTATCGTTTATGTTATCTGAGTAGAATTTTATGGTCCTCTTTGTTTTTCTTAAAAGTTATGCCCTAAAAATTATTTGTCCTCAATTTTTGCAAGGTAACATACTTACCATATATGTTAATTCCTTGTTTTCTTTAATACATACAATTTATTAAATGTGCTTTGCATTTAAACTCTTAAATTATGAATTGATAGAAATGTCAGTTTTGTATAATAATGGATTATGAGAAATGGAAAATTATTTGTATTTCAAAAAATTATTATATTGTCATTTTTCATTTTAATAATGTTTTAACTCATTCGCAGCTGGACCTGGATAAACTGCTTATTGTTTTAGAATTACTTTGCCTAACTGAAAGATCAGATTTATTTTATTTTATCAGTTTTTAAAAATGTTTTTCACTTAAATTTCTAGCTTTATTATTAATTAATTTTGACTTTTAATTATGATTTAGCCCAATAAAACATTAACTAAATTTTAACTCTGTTCTGATATTTATTACTCATAATTTGAGTTCAGTGATAAGGTTGTAGTGGGCCCAATAACTAAAGCATAACTAAAGCACTTGGCTTGATAATATCATGTCCACTTTCTATGTGACAAGCTTTCAAGATAATTTATTGCCTTCAAGAACACTCAGCCACACTGACTCGACTCTTCTACTCTGTGCTAAAAAATGGCGCCACAACATAGGATAGGAGATAGAAGGTGGGACACCAGAATTTCACCATTTTTGTACAAGTGTAGTCCCAACTATTCAGTAAATAATTGCAGTTAACTGAGTAAATGTCATGGCTGCCACAAGGTCATCAACTGGTGCATATGCCCACTAGAGAACAAACCTTAAAGTATTTTAAAACTATTATATCTGTATAACTAATTTATGATGTGAGTTTTCTTGCATTGAATTTTTGAAATGAATAATTTTTAACCTAGATAGTAAATCATGCTGTGCAATTGCATGGTGGCTATGGATATCTGAAGGATTATCCTGTACAGCAATATTTGAGAGATATAAGAGTTCATCAAATCTTAGAAGGTATGTATTTTTTATTTTAATGTATGGTGATACCATAAATTTATCTTAATATTTGTCTGTATTTTGTCTATATTTGTTTTTGATTTTTATGCTCAAAATTGCATCCTGTGTTGCATGTGTTGTTTTGTAACCTGTGTTATTGTGAGTCTGTGCCGTATTTCTTTTGTATTTTATATTATTTTAAATTTCTGTATAATTATTTATGTATATTTTATTATGCTTTAATGAGTAAAATTAGCAAGAATTATTATTTGAATTTTGAAGAATTTTCTGTCTATAATCATTAAAATTTTTAGAAGCCGTCATAGAAGTGTTGATTTGATCTTTTGGAATCTGCCATTTCTGGTGAATGAAAAATCTAGCAACCTTTGGAACATAAGCAAAAATTTTAATTTGGAAACTGCTAATGGAAGCATACTTTCTTTGGGAGTCTTAATTCCCAAAGAATAAAATATATTTTCTCATTTATGTCCTTCACCTAAAATTACAGAGAAGAGCTAAAGCTCTCTTTGTAGAACATAGTGGCAAGAAGCATGGTTTTAGAGCAAGTGCTCAATGGGACGTTAGCCTTAGCTCTGTGAATGATGTTACTTCGGATTTTGAAGTCCTATCTTGTGTATTTTTAACTTGAAATTTGGAGTTAATGTCTTCCATAATCTTTTATTTTCTTCACATCATCATATTCCTTTCCTGCTTATTAGAGATATCTAATAAGAAAACATTAATATACAGAAATGTTTTGTAATTTTGCCACACAAGTTTGAGTGTGTAATTATTTAAATGTACACAATATTTTAGAATTGGAGCAACCAGTCATGTAACTGCATAATAGTTGCTGGTGTATTCATTTATTTCGTTTAATCAGAGTTTCTCCATTAGTTATAACTTTGCTGCCAGGCCTTTATCTTAAAAATCATTCTAAAGAGTAATTTGGAACACATTTTAAGGTCACATTGTTTTAGAAAAATGGTGAAATTATTCTGAAACAGGTATACAGAAGGGTGCTGATGAGACTCCTTTATTCAGTTTTAAAATAGTTCTGTTAACATTTTCCATCAGTCGCTGAAGAAATAATAATTATTCGTTATAATATGGTAACTGTTTTTAGGAAGCAAACATGGCATTTACTGTGTTTTAAATTCAGAATTATGTTAATAATTTTTATGTTTTGGAATGAAAGGTCACTTGCATTTTGAGCTTGTAAGATCCTTTTATCTGGAGACACTTTGCTAATGTCAACAAAAATTAACTGGCACATACAGTTAAAATGAGGTTAAAAATGAGTAAAATTGGCCGAGTGAGGAAAGGTGTCTGTTGCGACAAGAGTGTGGTGGTGATTTTAAGCACTTCTGTAATTTTGTGCCAGGGATTAGCATTGGTTTTGTTTTGTCCCATTCGGTTATTGAGTGTAGATGTGCAGCAGAGTGTTTAACCCCACATGCGCTATTCATTGATGAACTGGTAGTAATGAGTTTGTAGATTAACTTTATGTTTATCAGTTCTTACTGATAGGGTTTTTTTTTTTTTTTTTTTTTTTTTGTTGTTGTTGTTGTTTTTGTTAACCCTGTATATTGTGTGTATACATATGAAGTATCTGCTTGTGGTAGCATCTGAATTATCTTAACAATTTTCAGATGGATGGGGTTATGGAAAGTTTATAACAAAGTCTTAAAACAAAGAGCAGATACATGATATGTAGTAGGGAAACTGTCTATATATTTTCTTTTATTTGATGTATGTGTCACTAACAATTTTACTTTTTGAGAAATGAGTATAGAAGCTTGTCTGTTGGTTTTCTTTATGAGCCTTTCACCAATATCAAGAGGATATATATTGTTTTCAGCAATTTGTAGTATGAATTTTTATTTATTTTTGTGCAACTTTAGAAATCGCCTCCTGGTAGAGTGGTGCTTTGGTACACCCGGGTACCTGGGCCGAAGGCCCTACCTCTTGTAGAACATTTTATAGCTTTGAATTGTGTCAGAGAAATAACCAGTTAATTTCTAGAACAAAAGCTGGTGAAAAAAATCATAATTAACATGGAATAAACAGTTACATAAAAATTTTGGTACTGGGAAGCTGAAAGGCAAATAATTAGCATAGAAGATGGTAAACGGGCTAATAGCGGTGAGTTAGGCATAAGCCATCGATCTGGTGAGTAAAGTCCTCTCCGTAGTGGTAACAAGTCTTGTCGATAAACAGTAGTTGCTCATTCGTCGGAACCAGTCACGTGAGAGGTCACCCTCCCAGAAACTGATCCCGCTCTGCTGCTTGAGAAACCAGGTTAACTGGTGAGTAGAATAAGTAAGATTAGGTAAAGAAAAATGAAGTAGAACGTTGAATTACTACATTTCTTGTAAAAGTAAAGTCCTTAATATTCTTCGTCGGCTATCTTCATTAAATACATTGCAGCTTTAAAGCCAGAAGATAATTTATCTGCTACTGTTTTCGCTTTCTTGATAATTTCAATGAACTCGATGATTTTGCCGAAGAATTCTTGAATCTTATCATCTCGCAGCCAGTTAAGGGCTTCTCTTGCATCTGCAGAGATTTGATTAAGTTTCTTTTTTAACTTTTCGCTCTACTGACCCTTCTGAGGTGGGGGGATGCTTCCTTCAGCGGTTTTTACAAATTGCGGGAGATCATCACTCTTAGCAGCGAATTCCTTCATTTTACGTGGGGCTGGTTTTCTATCAAACTTTTTCTTACACTCTTCACATCCACGATAACTGCAGACGTGATTCTTTCCGTAGAATAGACAGGTAGGAGCTTCATCTTGCTTCTTAGGGCAGGTATTGCTGCAATGTTTGTCTCCACATTTGCAACATCTGGCTTCATTAGTGCATAAATGTTGGGAGTGCCCCCACTCCTGACATCTAAAACACTGGATCGGGCATTTTCTGGGGCTATACTTCTCTATCCAGATGTTCACGCTAAATATGCAGTTTAACTGATGGGTTGCATATCCTTCTTCGTTTCTCTTAAGTTCAATTAGACAAATAGGCAGTTTTTCAGAGTTGATTTTTTGCTCTGGCAGAACTGTCTGACGTTTGTAACTGGAAATTTTCTTCTTGCTAAATCATCTAAAACCGCTTCTTCAGTGACTTTATCTGGGAGATTCTTCAAGTTGACTCTCAGTGGGTTTTTTTTTTTTTTTTTTTTTTTTTGTCCGTCAAGTACGTGTGAAAAGGAATTTCATTCGCCTTCAAAAATTTCATGGCATTTTTTTAATCCTCCATCTTTTCGTATTCACATAAATCAATTTCAATTTTATGCTTGCCTCAGTTTCGTCTTTGCATATTTCTCTTAGGTCACATTGAACTATAAGCCAGTCTATCGTCTCTTGCTTAAAAACAATAGGGGGTGGAATTTCATCGGTGCAGTCAGTTTCAGGTTCTTTCTGAATTTCTTCCAATTTCTTAAATCTGTTTTCACTGGTAATTTCCATCTGGGTCAGCTCTGGTAGTTTCTTTGCAGTCTTCTTAGGAGAGATCCGTGGGTTTTCGTTTGGCTGTTCTTCGTCTCGCTGTTGACTGTTTTTGCCTAAGTTAGTCAGTATTTCTGGGGAAGTCGGACCTCTTCCTCATAAACAATTCAAGAATTCTACACCATGGGTGTGTATCATCTTCAGTATTTGGTCTCCAATCTCATTTCCGTTCTTAGGATGAGTCACACTATTCTGAGTAACATCCGGTTCAGACAAGGTTTTCATTTTTCTTTCTTTTCCTCCTGGGTGACTTTACAAAATTCTCTCTACGGAGTGCGAATTGCATCGATTTACTCAAAATCATAGATCGGTGCGATTCCATATCATCATCTGAAGTTTCGTCGTGTGCCCTCAAAAAGGATGTTTTGCTGTACCTGAGGGTACCTGAATAAGTTCAGAAAATATCGCAATAAAAAATAACTAAGTACTTAACTGTTCGCCTACTGGACTGGGACAGTTCGTAGAAAATGTGAGTGTAATCCACTGTATGTGTTGCACATTCGCTGTCTCAGCTCCGAATATCCCGAATCATTCATCCCTCCCTGAATCCTCCCACTGTAGAAATCTTTGACATGTTTTAAGTGAAAATAAAATGCAGTCATTTTATGTGAAAAAAGAGTTGAGTGCCCCTCTATGCTTTGGTTGCCAGTTGGTTTGTGGTATATTGTAATCTGAAGAGTATTTCAGTTTTTAAGAGATCAAGAAATTGAATGTTATTGTTGACTTCTTTGTCAGTCTTTAAGCTTGAAATTTCAGAAATTTTCTGAAATAAAAAATAACAAAGCTTTAAATTCAGCTGAAGGTTTCCATAGCACAAAGTATCATTTACATACCTCTTTTAAAACATAGGTTTTTGAGAGAATGTGGAGAAAACAAAATTTTTCCACATGTTGCTTGTATATTTCAACCAAGATAGGCAGCATTGATGCTCCCATAAAGAGGGTTGGTTGTTTATGGGTATGTTGTTTGATTCTAAAGACTATAAAATTATGCATGATGGGAAAAACCTTTATAAACATTGATAATAAATTTTAATGTAATTTTTTACTTTTGGAATTTGTTCCAAGCATAATTGGGCCTGAAATTACTGTGTATACCATAGATCAGTGGTCTCAAACCAAAATTATGTGGTTTGCATGCATGAACTGCAAGCAGCTGGAAGCCAGATTTTTTTAAACAAAATTTCCAATAACTAACTGAATTTTAACTTAATTTCAAATGCCACTCACTAATTTTTGATAAATATTTATCAAAACACACATAAACAGCAATAATAATAATTCAGAGAAAAAATTCAAATTTATCATGATTAAATCTATAAGAAATTTTCCTTCATTACATTCTGTACACACTGTAATTTGGTGTATTAGTAGCTAACTATTAAAGTGACATTTATTTCAAATAATTTTAATGCATTAAATTAACCACTAACTTACTTATTTTTAACATAAAATAAGAAAGTTATAGAAACTTAACCAGATTTTCAAAGAACTTCCCCATTGGAACAAAACTT